TGTCTCTTCACTGGTGCATTCAATCCATTGACATTCAATGTAATTATCAATAGGTGTGAATTAATTGCTGCCATTATGTTAATTTTTTTGGTAGTGCTATTTGTTCCTTTGTTCTGCATGCATTTTTGTGCTGTTTCTTCTGTTTTTTTTCTTAGTTTTCATGTTTGCTTATTCTGCTTGGAAGTAAATTTTCATGGTAAGCTGTGAAGTATTAACTTTCTTTGGGGTTACCTTATAGTCTATTAACTTTTCTTTCCATTTAAGACAATATTTTGTATCCTGTAATCTACCTGGCCTCCTCACCACTTGGATCTCTGTTCCTACATTTTTCCCTTCTTTGACATTGATATTATTTTGATCTTCAGTTGACCTCCCAGTTCCTTTGAATTAATAGTAGTTTTGTTCTGTTCTGGACTCTGCTGTCTGTCGACTGTGTTCCAGGTGGTTTTGCAATGCCTGTCAATCTCTGGTTGTTGTCTGTTCTTCTTGGTTTTCAGTTCAAAGAACTCCCTTTAGGATGTTTTGAAGTGCTGGATTGGCTTTGACAAAATCTCTTAGCTATTGGTTGGCAGTTTTTTTGTTTTGTTTTGTTTTAGGGTTTTGTATATGTCTCCCCATTGCCTTCTTGCCTGCATGGTTTCTGCTGAGAAGTCAGAGCTTAATCTGATTTGCTTGCCTTTGTAAGTAACACTTCTCTTTTACCTGACTGCTTTTAGAATTCTCTCCTTGTCTTTGATTTTGGAGAGCTGGATTATCATATGTCTTGGTGATTTTCTTTTGGGGTCTATCCTTCCTGGAGTACATTCGGCTTCTTGAATTTTTATCTTCTCATCTTTCAAGATGTTAGGGAAATTTTCTTACAGAAGCGCTTCAACTGTCTCCTTTGTGCACTTCTCTGATTCTTCCTGTTCTGGAATGCCAATAATTCTTAAGTTGTTCCTCTTCATGTTATCCAGCATGAATCTTAGACTCTTTTCAGTTTTTTTAAATCCTTTTTTTCTGCTTGCTCTTCTATCTTAGCAGTATTGAGAGATTTATCTTCCAGCTCGCTGGTTTTGGCTTCCATCTCTTCTATTCTGCTCCTTTCCCCTTTGGTGTATTGTCCATTTCTGATATTTTATTAATCATCTGGACCTCTTTTTGCAGGTTTTGAATTGTTTTCAATGCTGTATCAATCTTGTTTGATTGCTCTTGTAGTGCTTTCCTGACTTCTTTCTTGTTTTCCTCCACCCCTTTTTGGAGCATTTGAATTTGTTTCTGTGTCATTCTTCTGAATTTCTTTTCAGGCAGTTCCCAAACCTGCTCTTCCTCTTATGGAAAGCCTTTGTCTGTCTCCAACTCTTTTGTCTCAGTTACTCTGTTTTTGGTCTTTTGTTGTGTTTTATTGGTCCTTTCCAGTAGTTATGTGAAGTTTTAATGCTTAAACAGATGTTTGTTGCTGTGTTATTAAGGTTATTGGGTGTGTCCTGGTGGATATGATCAGGAGATAGGCTTCCCTTTTCGCATGTATCAGCTGTTATTGGCTCTTGTCTCAGTGGTGGAATATTATGGGCTATGCTTGTAGCTTGGCTATATGGCCATAATTGCTGTCTCTTGAAAAACGTCTTTTGCATATAAAAACAGAGACAAAAACCACCACTTTGAAACAAATATAAAACTGTGGCTGACTGTCCAGTCACCTTGCTACACAAGCAGTGTGTGTGCACTGTAGAGGCCTCCAGCAGTGGGTGGGGGTGTCCTCTCGCTCAGGCCCCTCCTCTAGTCACCACTGCAGAGGTGCATAGATAGATATTGAGAAGTTAATGGGAGAAAGATTGTCCACTGTTTTTGTCTCTGAAGGTCTTTTAGGTATTTGCATGTGCAAAGCATAATTCTTGAGATAGTCACGTCCTTTTAAGTTGGGGTTTTACAGATTGTTCATATGGTTTGTCTATCAGGTCTGACAGGCTTGCTTTTTTCTTGCTGGATATGCTGGAGTAAAGGGTCCCACACAAGTTAATTTTAGGGCTGTGACCCAGAGGCTGACGTCATAAGCAGATGCCAAAGAATTTGCCCTTAGATCTGATAGGGCTCTTTCTCTCTTTGCCATGGGAAAAACTGTGGGCTCAATGCTGGACCCCTTTCTGGGGGTGCGCACCCACCTGCCTGAAGGCATTTGGGCTGGGCAAAGAAGGTGCTACAGGGAAGAGGAGGGAAAAATGTGTGGAATCCTCCCGCACCTCCTTTTGCAAATGTCACTGCACCGCTTTTAGTGCTGGTTCCCTGTGCCTGTCTGGCTGTAGCCCAGCTCTCTGAACTCTGCCACAGAGAGAGTCCCACACTTAGAGCGATTCCTAAATCATAGTATTTTCCTTTATACCGTGATTTTTTCATTGGCGTGTGTGGGAAATTAATACCTTGCACCCTATGCGTAGTGGTTACGAATCGGGCTGCAAACCTTAAGGTCAGCGGTTCGAAACTACCAGCTGCACCGTGGGAGAAAGATGAGGCTTTCTACTCCCGTAAAGATTTACACCCTCGGAAACCCTATACAGGGTCGCTATGGGTCGGAACCGACTCGATGGCACATAACAACAAACAACAACAACAACCCTATGCTAGATCTAGAATTCTGGTGCTGTTCCGTGAGAGCAGCTTCTCTGGTTTTGAGTCCCTTCCCCATGGAGCCTGTCCTACCTGACTCTGCTTCAGCAGCCACCAGAACCGGAAGTTGCAAAAGACTTCTTTTAAGTGTTAAAGAACAAAGATGTCAGTTTGAGGATTAAGGTGTGTCTGATCCAATTAATGACAGTTTCAATAATCTCATATGTATGTGAAAAGTTGGACAGTGAATAAGGCCGACCGTAGAATAATCAATGCATTTCAGTTACAGTGTTGGTGAAGAGTATTGAAAGGACGGCCAGAAGAACAAACAAATATGTTTTAGAAGAAGTACAGCCAAAATGCTCTTTAAAAGTGAATGGTGAAACTTTGTCTTTCATTCTTTGTCCTGCTGTTAGGAGGGACCAGACCCTGGAGAACTATGTCATGCTTGGTAGAGTGGTAGAGTGGAGGGTCAGTGAAAATGAGCAAAACTCCCAATGAGATGGATTGACACAGTGACAGCAACAGTGGGCTCAAACATGACAACAACTATGCTTTGTTCTGTTGTTGCTAAGTGTTGGAACGGAATAGATGGCACCTAACAACAACAGAAATCTAAAAGTCAGCACTGGCCATGCAATAGTTCAGCTGCTAACTGAAAGGTTGATGGTTCAAACCCAGCAGCTGCTTAGTGAGAGAAAATCTGGCGATATGCTTCAGTAAAGATTTTAGACAAGGCAACTTTATGAGCCTGTATTCCTGTGTCCTATAATATTTCTTTGAGTTGGAATTGACTTAATTGCACACAACAGTAATAACACAATAATTTGAAGAAAACTATTAATCTACCAGCTGCTCCGCGGGAGAAAGATGAGGCTTTCTACTCCCGTAAAGATTTACACTCTCAGAAACCTTGTACAGGGTCGTAACCTTGTATGGGTCGTAACTCACTTGACGGCACTTAACAACAACAACAACAACATTAATCTTTAGTATACTAAATGTCTTAGTATCCTTTTCTTTGCAGTGATTTTCTTTAATGTAGTTGTAATTTTTATCATACTACATTTTTTTCATTTAATATTGGGAAATGAAATTTTTTTTTTTTTTACAATTTACTACATTTAATAGTTGCTTATAATCATCACTATTTCCAGTGGTTTCTTGTTGTGACATTTGATGATCAGTCATCTAACACATACTTACTGTATTAGACACTACTATACAATAGTGGATAAAGTTTATTCTCTGTTCTTTCAGACAGGATAACAAATGGGCATTTGCCTTTTTCGTCATTTTCTAAGAGGTGGTACATACACATAGACCCATTTTTAAAGGGAATAAAAACACATTAAAAAGTTTCATCTCTGTCTCATAGCTACCCATTTGCTCGAAGAGAATCATTGTTAATTGTTTCTTCTGTATTCTTCCAGAGATAAACTGTGCTTACACAGTGTGTGTGTTTCATACTTACTAGACACACTAACTTATTGTTTGGCACCGTTGAGTCATTTCTAACTCCTAGCGAGTCTGTGTGCATCAGAACCTGACACTGCCTGGTCCTGCACCGTCTTCATAGTATTTGCTACGTTTGAGCCCACTGCTACACTCACTGTATCAGTTCATCTCATTGGAGGGCTTCCTTTTATTTGATGACACCATAAAGCATGATGACTGTCTAGGGACTGATCCCTCCTGACAACATGTCCAAAATACATGAAACATAGTCTCATCATCCTCACTTGTAAGGAGCATTCTGGCTGTACTTCTTCTAAGACAGATTTTGGTTGTTGTTTTGGCATTTCGTGGTATTTTTACTATTCTTCCCCAATATCATAATTCAAATGCATCAGTTCTTCAGTATTCCTTTTTCACTGTCCCAGTCTCACGTGTGTATGAGGCAACTGAAAATACCACGGATGGGCCAGATCTCAAAGTAACGTCTATGCTCTTGAACATTTTAAACATCTTTTGCAGCAGATTTGTCCAGTGCAGTTAGTTGTTTGGTTTCTTGACTGCTGCTTCTCTATTCCCTCATTCCTTAAAATATTTTCTAAGGAAGTTTATTTTAGGGCTATGGTTAATAGCTCTTGAGGAGAATGTGTTTTAAATGAAAGTAATTTTGACCTGTGTGGAAAATGAGAAGATAACAAATATTCAAGTTTGGCACACATTTTGTAATTGACTTACTTTATTTTCCCATTAAAACTGAGCTGAAGGAGTAGTACTTCTATGTACTGGAGCCCAGGGTCATCTTATATGTATCATACTGTTTTATTTGAAAAATAGTGACAGTAAGCATTTCTCTTTTCAGTGACTTCATGCAGTCTATCAATGCATAACTTAAAATTTAGGAATGGAAATTCAGAGAACAATTTTGAACTTCTGGAGCATTAAAATATGTCTTTCTGTTGCAGAAATGTAGACAACCAATTTCCTGGGCAAGCGGTTCCGGCTGGGTTCCCAGTGTATCCTGCTTTCAGCCCCCTGCAGATGCTGTGGTGGCAACAGATGTACGCTCATCAGTATTACATGCAATAGTAAGTTAATTTGAATCCATCTTAGTATTTTCTCATTTGACTTGGGATTTCATTTGCTGATGTATCTCTTTGGTTACTTAAAATTAGTATGAGAGGATTCACAAACATCCCTTCTTTGTTCTCAAGTGTTTGGCTACAGGAAAGTTTCTTGTTCACATCAATTTAGCTTCCTCTTGGCTCCTCCTTTTCCCCCTAACTATACTTTGCAACAATATTCAGATGTTTTCTTTAATATAACACTTTATACACTTAAGAAGAGAGCATTTAGGAAAGTTTACTGGAAGGGAGCAAGCAGGCTGGCATGAAAAGAGAGAGAGTTGAATGAAGAAAGTAGAAGAGACAGATGTCAGGAAGGCGTATCTCTATGTGGGGCTCAGGTGTCAGTGTTATAGGAAGTCTTGATTTGGGTCGGCATGGACCAACATTTGCACTTAATAAAATTTCTCAGCTTTTCTTCCTGTCTTTTATTTAGCATTGACTGACTAGCTTCTTCATGCTCTCCTTTCCTGGTGTCCTTGTGTTTGTGATCCCATTATCCTCCTCTTTCTTTTTATTTTTCTTGGTCACTTTTCCCCCAGATCTTTAGTGGCCTCAATTTTGTTTTGTTTTGTTTTTTTGGCTTCTTTTTAATGGGACCATTGCTTGTCTCATTTGACAGACGTTTGTGTACTTCCCTGTGTGTCTCATGACGACACCCATAGTGCATTAGGGAAGACAGGATGCAGCCCTGGGACAGGCCTCTTGGCTTCTTTCCTTTCACAGCCTTGGTTAACCTAGTTCTCTGTGGATAACTCCCAGTGCTGTATTCCCTGCTGTGCTTCATCCTGTATCCCCACTTAACTGTTGGAAGACTTCCATTGTGCCCACTGAGTCCTCCATTCTCTTTAGTGCATTCTTCCTCCTGATGGCTTGGTCAGTGATACTGCTGCCTCTGTGAAGGGTCCCTGGTGGCTCAGTGGCAGAAGCTCTCCAGTCACTCCATCAAGGTTACAGCCTTGGAAACCCTGTTGAGTTCCACTGCGTCTTATAGGATCACTTTGAGTCTGATTGATGTGACAACAACAAATTATTGTCTTTCTTCATCATCACCTTCCAAACTCTGACGCTTAGTCAGTTTTGATTCTGGCTTCCCTTATTCCCTAACCCAGTAACTTATTAAGAGGAGTTAATATGAGTTTAAGTGTAAAAGTACTGCTATAAAATCATAGAACCTTTACTAAACAAAAATATAAAAATGTGAAGGTTTTGTTTCTCAGTATATCCTCTGTCTAGGTGTATGCACTTCTCAAGGTGGTGCTGCCATCTGTGTAAACCTTTGCTGCAGAATTCTGTGCTCTGATTTATACCAAGTCAAAATGACAGTTTTGGCATCATTTAGGAACTCAAATTGTATTCCATTTAAATATTCTTTGAGCTTTGGGAAAAAAAAGAAGTGTGAAAGGGGTAAGATCAGGACTGTAGAGTAAACAGGGATAAGATTTCCCAACAAAATTGTAAAACAGCTCTTGCTAGCCTTGAAGAACGAGCAAGCACAATGTCATGATAGAAAAAATATGCAACTTTCCTGGTCATTTTTCTTACCAGTACAGTTTTCAATTTTCTTAAAACTTCATGATAAGCCCCTGTGATTGTCCTGTGTCCTTAGAGGAAATCTATTAAGATTGTTGTTGTTGTTATGTGCTGTGGAGTCGGTTCTGACTCATAGCGACCCTGTACAGGGTTTCCGAGGCTGTAAATCTTTATGGGGAGCAGAAAGCGTCCTCTTTCTCTTGCGGAACAGCTGGTAGTTTGGAGTTCCGAATTGACCGTGAGGTTCGCAGTCCGATTCGTAACCACTACCCCTTGGAAATTACACAAAACCGTCACCATAATCCGAACTGACCTCTCAGCTTTGAATTTAACTGGTTCAGCAGTTGTCCTTGGAAGTCATTATTTTGATTGGAGCATTTTTCTGAAGGCACCTTACCAAAAGTAAAACAAGTGCCTTACTTTGAGAATGTGTGTATAACCATCATTGATCACCGACACATGTTGCCTCTGCACTTATAAGCTGTACCTTTTTGACTTAACCTCATATGTAGTCTCCAACTTTAGTCCTTTCTTTGATAAAATATTCTACTTCCAATATGTTTTCATTTTAGACCAACTTTACTGCAAAGGCTCTTTCTCGTATTAGGTACTTTACTACATTTGATTTTGTATACTACTACCAGGCTAACTTTCTTACCACAGAATTGAATTGTTCAGTCCTCAGCTGCCATAATATCCAGTGATTTTCTTGCTCACATTTTGAAGTTTAAATACTTTTGTTTCTTCTGACCTTCCCCCACAAAGCTAGCCTAATGCCTTCTTTTCATAACCCCTTGGCTCTAGGCAGGCTTGTTTGTACTTTGTATGTTGCCATGGGAATAGCTGTCTTTTGAGTGATTACTATGTGCTCAATACTATGCTGGGGGGGGGGGTGTTTTGTCCCTTGTTTCATATGAAAGAGAAGTGAGCTTTATTGTGATTTGCTACTAGGTCTTATGGAGTCCTGGTGTGGCGCTGTGGGTTAATGCGCTAGACTGCAAAGCCATTTGAACTGCAAGATTGGTGATTCAAGCTCACCAGCTGCTCCTCAGAAACCCTATATAGGGTTGCTATGGGTCGGAATTGACTCGATGGCACTCAACAACAACTAGGTCTTAGGGAGTCCTGGTGTGACACTGTTGGATAAGCACTTGACCACGTTGTTTTGAAATGCAAGATTGGTGGTTAACATTCACCAGCCACGACTTGGAAATCCTATACAGGGTCACTATGGATCAGAACTGATTTGACAGAACTTAATAACAATAACAAATATTTTTGTTGTTTGTAAGTGCTGAGGAGCAGCTGGTAGATTTGAACCATCAACTTTAACATTTGTCAGTTTGTGGCTAATGTTATTCTACAACTTTCCTCCCTCGCCGGATACCATTTTGCTGGGAACCTTTTATAGTAAAATTTATTCTGGCATTCAAACCATTGAACTGTCAGCAAACTTCAGGACCACAATCCTGTGTAAATTGACAAGAATGGTTTTTTATTTTTTAACTTTTTATTGTGAATTGAGTGAAGGTTTACAGATAAGATCATCAATTTTCCATTCAGCCGATCATATACTTTGTTTGATCTGAATGATTGCAATCCCCTCCCTGCAACAGTTATTCTACTTCCTCTCTGTGGTTCCTATTGAATTCCACCTGCCTTCCCATACCTTCTCAGCTTTGTCCTTAGGTACATGTTACCCCTTTGATTTTGAATGATTTACCATTCTATCATTCAGAGTGACCATACCTGACTAGTGTTATCATTTTCCCTATATTCCTATCTACTGCTTGGCTGAAAGTTGGGCCACGATAGTGTGTTCCTTTCCAGACCTGAAGGGTGGTCAAGGGACACAGTCTCAGGTTCCTCCAGTCTCTTTGTGTCCAGTAAGCCTGCTATTTTTAATTCTGAGTTTTCTTCCAAACATTATGCTGCCACTATATCTGAGACCTTCTAATGTGATTCCTTTCAGAGCTATTGGTAGTGGTAACTGGGCATCATCTCGTTCTTGTAATCTCAGAGTCATGGACTGATGTTCACATGGTCTATTATTAGTCCACTGGGCTAACTGATTCCAGGCATCTTCAGTTCTCATCACTCTTCTTCTGCGCATGGAGAGACCAAAAGCTGCACCTTAGGTGGCCACTGTGGGTTAGGGCACTGGATTGCAGCGTCACTTTGGATTGTAAGGTCGGTGGTTCAAGCTCACCATTTGCTCCTTGGAAACCCTATATATGGGTCAGAACTGACTTGATGGCACTTCACAACAACAAAACACTTACCAAAGTAGGATGTAGAACATTGTCTTTGTGGACTATACTATGTCAGTTGACCATGGGGGGTCTTTTTTTAAATTTTAAACCATT